ACAATTGATTTAAGGATTGTGATCTGTCTCACAACATGTTTTGCAAATAAAGCAGCCATATATAATTCTGGTCTTTAGATTCTCCTAGATGACAAGCCACCTCTGAATTAGTGCTTTTATTTGCTTTCCACCTGTACAGTTCAGGAACCTTGCTCTGGCAGGTGTGACCAACATGATCTRTAATCTGAGAGAGCAGTTCCTACCAGAGCTGTTAGGGTAGCTGTGTTGGAACAGTCAGAAAGGAGTGGTACAGCAGAGTCCTAATCATACGGAGGTGGCCACCTAACGTGGTTGTCTTGCTTTCAAGCCTTTTGACCACCAGAGATGTGCAATGGTCCATGGCTGACAAAGCACAAGAATGTCTGCCAACACAGGATCCTGCTGACGACTCTTTCTAGGTCTGCCTTCCTACTGTTTGTTTGTGTGCTGGGCTTTCAAATTTCAGCTGGGAATTCAGTCTGAAGCTAACACAGACAATGATACAGGTAGGGTAAGTGCCAGCTACGGTCTCTGGTGTCTGCGCTTCTTGGAGCTGTACTTCTCCCACAGGAAGGGAAGCTGTGAAATAAATACCTATGATGTGGTTCTGCAGTGCTCTGCTTGGCTGTGCTGCTTTGATACTCTATTTATCAGGCCTGGAGACTCAGCCGAAGCCTGTGCTGGAATCTCAGTGACCATTAGGACAGTCTGCTCTTGTTTGCATGGCTTCTAAGTGCTTCCTCCTGGGAAGGGTTCCCTTCCTAAGCGGAGTGGTTCTAAGAGCACAGGTGACCRGCCAGGTCCAGCTCTGGCCCTCTGTACAATGTGCCAGTACAAAAGCATCTCCAGCAGCTTGCCTCTTTCAAATGCTTCGCAAGTGCCAAGTCAGAAAACATTAGGTTTTGGTGGAAAGAAAACAGCTGTTTATTTTATTTTATTTGAATGATGGTGTGGAATTTAATTCAGCAAAGACATGAAGTATGTTGGTAAATTGTGAGTGTGTGTAGGTGGGTGTGTTGGTGGGTGTAGGGAGCATATGGAAGAACTGCGGCATGAGAAAGCTGCCGACAGTAGGGGTTTGAAAAGTCTAAAGCAGAGCAGACTTCTCTTTTCTTCCTGCATTTTAACTCTCCCTTTGGCACCAGTCCATGTTGCAGCCTCATTCTCTCTCCCTCCTGGTGGATACGCTACACTTGTATACCTCAGTATCTGCTGTGAATGTAATTTTTGTATTTATAGTTCTAAGTCCGAAAGGGAAACACAAAATTGACTAAAATAAACCCGTAAGTTTGCAAAGCAAGAAATGGTATGGTAGTGGGTGTGTGTGTGCATGTGTCTGCGTTTGCTGCCCATAACACTTCATGCACATAAGAAACCGTACTTATTACCATTAATTACTAATAGTGATTACTGTGCCCCATTTCTGCACAAGTGCARAGAGCCAAGCTGCGGGCCTTGGGGCGTCCCGCAGGCCAGAACGGGCCATGGAGCCGCCATGGCCGCCCCGCCGCCTCACACCCCCCGCGCCCCGGCCCTGCGGCGGCCCGCGGGCGGCCCCGTGCTGTTGCGCGGCGGGAGCGGGCGGGGGCAGCATTGCCCGCGAAATGGCGGCGGTGCCGGGTCCCGGGGGGGAGCGGGGGAGAGATGAGGGAAGGGAAGCAGAAAGATGAAATCCTTTTTCTGTGCCCCTTCGTAGTCTGCCGAGGGTTGTTCTCTGGCGTGGTCGTACGCGCCTTTACCGCCATTCTCTTTCGGGGGAGATTGTGAAGTTAAAAAATGCCGTCAGCACCAGCAGCTGGCGTTCGCTGCGGCGACAGGGACACCTCTGCCTGGGAACAGTGACAAAGGCTCCCAAGCGGGATTTTTAAGTTGTAAAGCGTGTAGTCTGTAACGTACTGACGGAAAACCTGGGACCTTGAAATACAGGTGCAGAGTATTGGCTGGTCGGTGCTCCGAAGGTGGGCCGGGGGCAGAGCCGGGCAGAACCGGGGCAGAGGCTTCGGTSGGAAGGGACCTACAAACACAATCCGACCGCTGCAGGGCTGACCAAAAGTTATAGCGCGTTCCTGAGGACAATGTCCAAATTCCTCTTAGACACTGACACATTTGGGACAATAGCCACCACTCTGCGAAGCTTGTTTGGGTGTTTCAGCACTGAAGAAATCAGTTCCTCTCTGAGCAGCCATGCAAAGGCTCAGATCTTTTTGGGCAGGTGTTGAGCTTCAACATTCAGACTAAGTGGCGTGGTGCTCTTTGTGCACCTCCTTTGAAACCTCACATCACATGCATAAAAGAGACAAGGAATTGTGAGGATTTTTTCTAACACCCGTTGCAGTAGATTGGCTTTATAGTTTATTTATATAGTCTGATTTGCTAAACTTTGGAAATCTTYGTTCAAACTATCAGTTCGTACATTTTGTTGAAGGTCCTTACATGACTTGGGAGCAAAAATTCTACTCAATCAAAATCCAAATTATGTTCCCAGTCACTCTGGTCATTTTGAAAGATATATGTGGGGCTTGGTAAAGGCAACAGATGGTATTTCACTACCAAGTCACATTGTTGAGATGCAGCTGACACCTGAGCACAATATAAGGCTTGCTCTCACCTTGCCTTGGATCTATGAAACTTWACAGTTTGTGTTTCTAAATATATCTGATGCCAAGGGGACCAGGTGCAAGTTTCAGCATTCTTTTTCCGTACGTTGTCTCACTTACGCTTCTGATCTTCATCTTAACTTGGATTTCTAAGGTCCTTAGTCATGAATGCGAAACAGCTGACATGGGTCTTTCCTTCTGTTCAACATACACTGGACATTATAAGACAGAACCAGGGAGAGAAAGAAAATAAAATAAAATTWAAAAAAAAATAAAATAGATATAGCAACCCAAAGTGGGGGCAAGAAAGGAGAGAAAAAAAAAMCACAGTGGTAGGAGAGGAAGTGTCCAAAGACCAAAGGCATACAATGTCTGATGATACAAGAGAAAAAACAATTCTCTCAATCCTCCTGCCCTGTTTGCAGTTCTTAACTCCCCAGCTTCTGTGAAGAAATAATACTTTAAAAATATCAATACTATCAAACCCATAGCTTTCTAGTTTCGAGGATACAGAGAAAACCATGACAATGAGAGGGTAGCCCCGAAAGACAGAGTAGGCCTATGCTACATACTGCTCTGTAGTGAAGAGATGGAACAATCCAGGCAGAATCTGGACAGTTATCCTGCATCTCTACAGGAGACATCTATGCAGGGCTATGCTCTGGGCTCCTGGGCCAATCTACACCTCCAATAGCATGCCCAGCCATCCTGAAATCTGCTATGTGAACAGGAAAGCAAGTGAAAAACTCTCACAGTGCTGTATTTTTAAAAAAAAAAAAAAAAAGTCTCTGTCATTCGCAACTCACTCTGGACTCAAATCACCTCATAGACCACAGGCATGAAGAGCATTGGGAATGTTCTCCTTTCCCATGATGTATGCCACTTACAGAATACCTCACTGTAGAACCCTATCACTGCCTACAAGAGAAACTTCACAGCAATCTAATAATCCATATCCACTACTGTTGTCCTCATTTGACAGGATTTAAGAGATCATAAATATATAACTTGGAACTGTTGCAAAGTTCAATGTCACCATCAGAATGTAAGAGTCCTTGTCTCTGAGGACTCTGCTCACACCTCTGAACTATGTTTGCACTAGACAGTTCTTTGCTTTTTATTTGAATTAAGGTGACTCTAAGTATAGAAAAAAAGTCTTTTAAATAGAATTAGGCATTCCAACCAAACATCTTAAAAGGTGTAAATTGCAACAAGCTCTGCGACAGTTGCATGGACAGTTTCCATGGTTCGATGCTTTAGAGTAATTCCAGGGGAAAAAAAGAATCTGAACAGAAAATCTGACTTTTTCAATAGAAAAGAAACACTTTGACCCAGTTCTCTTTTTTTTTTTTTTTTTTTTTTTTTTTTTTTTTTTTTTTTTTTTTTTTGGGGGGGGGGGGGAATGGGAGGAATACAACAATGACCAAAAAAAAGCCAAACAAACCCAACCCCCCAACAATTTTAAGTGTTTTACTTTCATGCAAATAGGAAATAAAATAAATTTGAATCTCTGACAGTTTTTAAGTGGAATTGAAGTCCTTTGTCCAGCTCTTTTTGTCTCTTGAAATCATGTAGCAAAACTGTAGCCACCCCTGATATATGTACATATTAGGGTGGGCACTCAGTGTTTGAAATGCAGTGTATGGAACTGCTCACAGCACATTAAGAATGCTCAATAATGTGCAGTTTTAGGGTTGCACTTTATGCCGTAAGACACATTGTGCTGTTAGCAATCCTTTTTCTCTCACTAAGCACACATTACTTGAGTTTTCTAGTTGAGCATACACCTAAATTACTTTTTACTTTTTTTTGAAGAGGGTCATAAATTGTCATCAAAGACAGGGGTCTTAACTCAGCTGTTATTTAAAGACTATCTTCTTCTCAAAATCCTATGTTATCCTTACATCAATTTCCTTTATAGAAAAGCAGGAATTTAGGGGATATAAAACCTACAAACCCAATTTAAAAAGAATTACATGCAATTTGTATGTAGAAGGTAGTGTGGGTTTTTTTAACAAAAATGCTGTCTTGTGCGGTTTTTGTGTGACCTTTCTTAATTTTCTTAGTTTGCTTTCAAAGATGATTGCTTTTCGTCCATTTTTTCCAATAAGAAATAGTGGTAGCTGCCCCCACTTGGCTACATCCTCTCTTTTGCTTTCTTTTCAGGGGGTTGATTCACCTGTTCATTTAAAGGGGGGACACCCAACTTCGGAGAGTGCCTGTCAAATAGGCAAATTGCATAGTGATGTGACTCTTCCTTGTGTGAGAGAGAAATCAAAGAAAATCCAGAGCTGAAAAACTAATTCACTGTATGTAGCATAGAAGAAAAATCATGCTGAAGTCCTGAGCTAACTCACACAGTGCTTTCAGGAATCAGAAAAATGACACTGTCAAAACACAACATTAGTTTTCAGAAGCCTCCAGGCWAAATTTTATTTATTTAAAGTTAGCTCCTATTTTAATAACAAAAAAGTGGCAGCATATTCTACATCAAAGAAAAAAAAAAAAACTTTTCCTAATGTTTCCATTCCTCTTGTGAAGTACTGGAGTTGAAGCAGTGGAGCTGTCTTTCTCTAAATAATTACAWGAGTGGCAGGATCTCAACCTGAGAAAGCTTTTTGTCTGCACTGGGGACTGTAGCATAAAGAGAATCACATTTGGCTTGCCTAATCTGAGCTGCAGTATGAAATAATACTCAGAATTTCAGCATTTAAATAGTTTTAAACAAGATCCATAACAATGAAGATGAGTCCTGAATCAACATCTCGGTACACTGCAGCACCTTGATCAAGGAGGAGTACAGATGAAAAGCACATTTATGGGCTATAGCTTTCCAGTCAAGGCCTATTAACCACATTTCTTGTGGCAGTATCCAGGAGAAAAGTCCCTTAACAGCAGGATGGCACACAACCGGTGACTTCTCTTGCATATTACCCTCATTTCAGACATCCTCACCTTCAGACCCAGACCAACGCAAGCTCTTACAGTAATTGAAGCATTTACCATTTTGTACTTCRTTGAAGGGATGAGAGATGCCTTTTAAAGTTCACTTCTGGATCTCTTTCCTGGCAACTCTATTTATTCCTCTTTGTTTTTCATTCATTAATCTTTTATAGTTAGAACTGCTAGTAGTGAGAAGGCAGTCCAGGGTCCTTTCCTTCAAAGACATTCCATAAATAAAGAATAAACCCCTTAGGTCCCTAGACCTGTTTTTAGTTTGACTTCCCCACCAGTTCCTAGTAATGCCATTCCTTTGGCAATAACTTCTTGTCTGTGTTTCCTATTATTTCATATCTTTTAACACCTCCTGCTTTGAACCTTAACAGATCCAACTCTAGAGCTCTGGTAATTTGGCTCAGTTACAAAAGGCTCTATATTTGCATGTATTTGGGTCTTGCTGCAGAACRGTTAGGTCTGTGTGGGAGCAGGACTGAACTTTGTTGCAATGAAGCAACTCTTAGATCTGAGAAATACATTTCTTCCTTCTGGGCCCCTGGTCTTTTATAAGCAACAAAATAAACTAATGTCAAGGCAGCTACCAACAAACTTATGAGAATCAGTGAAGGGGAAGCAATGCTTGCATGAGCTTGCACCCCTAATGTAATGGCACAACTTCTATCTCAGACAAATGATGTCTTGCTTGTAAAGGGAGGGTATGGCAATTACGTGRTGTATGAAGGATGTTATGGTAAGACAGTACTGTCAACAGCTGCTGATAGCAGGAGTTTCAGAAAGACAATAGAGACAGAGAACAGAAGAGGGATTTTTCCCCTCTATCATGGAAAAATCTAAAATAGAACAAGTCTTTTCATGAATAACAGAAATTAGTAATGCTAGCTGCCAGGTCATGTGCCCGTGAGGTTGAAAACTGCTCTTCTGCCAAAGCAAATACCCCTCCTTGGGGACTGGAGAGTGGRGGAGTTCTTCTTGCAGCAGCATAACCTGAGACCTGCTATACTCTCGCTGTGGAGAGTGAGGCCCTAGCATGTGTACGGCTGTCCCAGTGATGGCCCAAGAAAATTTTATGTGATGGACATGTAAAGCACTTCAGGATCATCGGGGATGAATCATTCTGTAAAATGTATCATTAATGTTACTAGATGTATTATAGACTTATGTGATCTGAGACTGCTGCAGGCAGTGTGCGGGGAGAAAAGCTTTCCAGATTGTGCTCATGCAAATTTCTGTCTGTGATCACATTCATTCTGGTTCCCACTACAACATTACTTTCACACTCATGTGTGCTGCTCACTCAGTCTAAACTTTTTGTTATTGCAGGTTGTATGACTACAACATAACATCCCTTTGCCAACACCTTTACAAGGGTGAGAAAACATACAAGTATGGAAATAAAGGCACAAGAAATCTAATGGATATGCTTGAACTTTCCCAGGAAAGGGTGGTRTGATCCTAACCAATGCCTCCTGACTTGAACATGTGCCCTAACAGGTTTCTAGATCAGGGCAGCTGTCAATTTGTTCATGGCATTTAGTTCAGCTTATGGTTTTGTTATGAACCATTATTTTTTTCTGAATTGGGTATCCTTATAATTCAGAGAAGAACTTCTGAAAGCTGCTAAAAGCAAATGTGAAATCGGACCTRTTTTGTGTATATCCTGTTGTACTATGGACAGTAAGTCTTATCAACCGTGTTAAATCATGCAAACAGTATTTTGAAATGACTTAGGATTGATGCAGTCACAAAATACACATATAATAGGAGGTGGAGGATGAGCAGGCATATCTAACAAAGGTTTTTGAAACATTGCAAGTGAAATGGAGAGTCAAGGCAATGGTAAGGAGACCTAAGGCCAGTGACATATCCTGTGAGAAGATCCTCAGAACAACCAGACTGTTTGGAAATGTAGGGAAAAAAACAGGCAGTGATCTAAAAATGAGAAAAGGAAGAAATCACAGGCAAATCCTAGTCATGAATTAATCCAACAGAAGTCAAATCCAAGAAAGTGTGAGCAGTGAATCATCAGTAAAAGGGCACTTTCATGTAACATATGAGTTCAATTCACAGGTACCCAGTCTGTTTTATAAAATTAAAATGTAAAATAGGTCAAAAATATTCGGTGTTCAGATGAAAGTTGAAAAAAAGAAGCTTTCAAGATTTCAAGTCTGTACTTTGAATGTTTGTCTAATACATCAACACAGGCTGGCTTGCCAGAAATATTAAAATACAAGTAAAAAGATCATAAATTAGTAAATTGTCAAGTATTCTTAATATGTATTCTCAATGCCAGACATTTATAATAGTAAAAGCAGGTTACTTAAATAATAAGTGCCAATTAGTACTCAGAGAGTTCAGAATACTTTAATACATAGACCAAACTGGGTTTGCTAAAGCAAACCCATTCTGAAAAGTTTTGTATTTTAGGATTTGAGTGTTCATTTAGAAAACTATTACACCATGCGGTACAAATCTTTTATTAAACCAATGCATTCTTATTTGAAATAAGATTTTGATTCAGTCACTGTATTTTGATAGACTATGCACACAGACAGGAGATAATGGATTGAACAGGATGTCCTTGAAAGAGAAGAGCTGCTTCAGATTACCTCTCTAATACTCAGGAGACATCCTGCTTCCAGTGCTCATCAGACTTCTGAAGGCCAAGAGAAAAGATGTACCCATGCTATCTGGTGTAACAAATCAGCTCCTGAATTACCTAACTGTAAAACTCACAGGGAAAAAAATTAAATAATCTCTGCTTAAAATATCTCAATGTCATTTTAAAATCTATTTAGGAAGATCAGCTCTGGTGCCTTTATAGCAGCTTAGCCACGTGCATTGTAAAGGCTCACTGGTACTGTTACCATCACTGGGTTTTGAAATGAGTACAGCACAAAGTTACTAAATCAGTTTTGATCTTACAGTGCCATTTGGTTATACTTTCAAGCAATTAAAGAAATTGATATACAGAGACTTTTAAAAGGTAGGAGRCAAAAATTTTATGGACACACAGAACTATAACAAGACAGATTACTTTCTGAAAAAAAAAAGAAGCAGAGATGTGAAAGACATATTCTAACACTTGTTAAGCAGAGAAATAAAAAAATGAAAACTTTGGGTTACATTTTTAAAGACATTTTCCCACCCATTACATAGGCCTTCTGTGTTCCGAGTGCTGGAATCAGCCAATATTTTGTGTCATAATAAGCAAACAAAATATTTTCCTGTAGGCTTAGTAAAAATCAGAGAAACAGAAGAATTTGTGTGCATATAAAGTCCTCAAAATCAGTGTCTTAGCACATAYGGGATTTATAGTCTCAAGATTAAAACTTGCTGGGGTAGATAGTCTACCGAGCTTGCTGGGAAAGAAAACTCCACAAAAAAAAACCACAATGAAACCCCCCTGAATATAAAAGTTTTGAATATTGATGTCTTTGCCTCTTTTCACTGAACCATGTATATGTGTGTGTGTGTGTGTGTGGATGTCTGTACCCATCTCCCCATCTCATGTCTTCAGYTACCACTTTGTTACAAAAAAAGTGATAAAGAGGTCTGCTGAAACATCTTACTCATAGYAGGACCCAGTAATTCTGATGCAAGTATGGCAGCATAAGGCAGATTAAATTGTGCTATTTCTCTCTATTATGAAAGTCTTAGTCTTCATGTGATAGAGCACTTTAGTCACCTACCGTACATATCAATGTTGCACAAATGGCCTTGTTCATATTTAAAACAGCGTAGACTGAGCTTATACTTGTAGTCACTCACACCACTCAGAAATTGTTTGAAGCCTCTCTAAGAGAAAAAGTCAGAAAACTACTCTTTTTTATATATTCATAATGTAACCTGTTGAAGTTCTAATTCTCTCCTTAAAGAAGGATTAAGTTTGCTTTCAGTTGAGAGAAAAATAAAAGATCACACTGTTTTTCAAATCAATGCATTCTGTTACCATTTCTCAAGGCAGCTCTACTAGGAAAAGAAGCACACTAGTTTGAGTCATGAATCTYGTAGGAACACTTGCAGGAAAAGCTGATTTCTTTAGGAGCACATATCCTGCCACCTTAAAAGATCCAGTACAGTACAAAAGCTAAGATCAATGTGTTTCAGTATCTTTTTTAAACTCATGATGAAAAAAATGACTGCTACAGGAGTCACAGTGAAACTTWTGCTATCTCTTTAGTTTCCATATGTATCAATGAAAGAATAAGCTTCAGCCTTATCTTTCTGAAAGTACATCTTCTTCTCTTACAGTCTATTGTGTCTCTGGCCCGTGGGCACTCCACACTGAGAGAAATAAAGTACTGGTATTTCCAGGGAGTAGTGAGAGAATTATTTAACCTTCCAAAAGAGTAGAATTCAAATAAACCAGGCACATCCAGGTATTAACAATTCCTTTTCTGATCGTGGGAAAGAGCAAGGATCAAATATGTGTAAGTCGAATGTAAAAATGATCCTGAATACTAATCAACTAATGTATTGTTAACAGATTCATCCCTTTTTTCTCCAGAAATTTAATACAAGCATATATTTATACACTGTTATATAAAAACCTCTTTGCCTTGCCTTTCAAAAATATTTAAAGACCTGTGAAAAAATTCATACTAGAGAAGATGGCAGCTCTGCAGTGCTAAGTCCACCTCTTAGTCACCTCAAAGTAAAGCTCCTGCCATGCAGATGACTTTTTTGAAGGCATCTCAGATATATGCTGGTGGAAGAGAAGGGTAACTGGAGTGCTGGTCACTTAGCTCCAGTGCTCATACACTGGAAGGAAGCCATGAGAATATATAGATATATAGATATAYGTAGAATATAGGCAATGCAAAGGTTTGATACTCATTCTGGAAGGTTTAATTTCAWAGCCTTTGTCTGAAAGTATGATTTTTCCACAGTGCCTTAATGCCTCAAGCAAAGTCCAAAAGGCTTTCTTTTCTAAAGTGACATCATGTAATAAGTAAAATATCAGTGGCATTGAAATTGGTAGGAGCTTCACATGTGTGTCTGAGCCTGTTTTAGTGAAAGCAGTGGTAAAAGTCCTGTTGATTTCCTGGAGAAAACCGAAGCCCTAGGTCTATGGTAGGTCTGAATACTGGTAGCTGGTAGCTACCTGAATGTTGGTGACTCTTTAATAAGAGCTGTCTAACCAGATATAAAATAAAAATATGCCCCTAGCTCAGGAAGCAGGATGGCAAATCCTACTGTCTGGCCATCATTTCCATCATCTGTTTCAGTAAATGGCCATCCTAAATACTACTCTGAATAATTCTTCCCTGGTGCTAGAAAATAGTTAAAATCTGGCCACAAATAAGGTTTTCATGAGCTGGCCTGAAGTGAGTAAATTCAACCTAGGAATTCAGGCCTTAAAACCATATTGGAGATAATGTTCTAGTTTCCCCTCCATCCAAATGATCTGAAGTTATAAGTGGTATATTGTAACCAGACCTAAATATTTTAAAGAACCAATGCAATCAGAGCAACTGCATCTCCCAAGAGTTACCTGCTACTACATGCAGACATCTAAAAATAAGTCCGAAAAAAATACATTATTTTTAAAAGAAATCTTAATTCTTCATACAAACTTGACTCTATCACATATCACGAGACCTCATTAACAAGATAATACGACTTTGCTTAAACCAAACAATATTGCTTCATGAAAGTATCCAACAGTTAGTATTGSCTCTTTTCTTTGTTCTCTCCTGAATGGAATGTATGTGTGTTTTGATATCAGCTCATGTCCTACAAACTGCTAGCTTAGCCAGCATGTTATATGAATAACATCTTTGCCAGGTAAATCCACCACAGGTACTAAAATCAGAGCTGGGGTCTTCTCTTCCAAATATTTTTCAAGGTATCCTTGCAGTCCTAAAATAGAAACAAAACAATTAATGAATCCACTTTGTTTTATTGTATCCTATCTCTTACAAATGATTTCTACATACTTTTCCGAAAACTATTGTGGAGTTGCAATTAACAAAAGGAAGTGAAATGCAACTCTTAAGTTTTCACTTCAAATAGAAGGAACATCTCCCACCTCCTTGTCAACTAATTTGAGATTAACTTTAGAGGTCTCCAAAGGCCAGAATTCACCAAAATAGTTAAAATGCATGTTTCTCAACCTCGAGTGAGTGAGTGGTTTGTACATTACAGAGGGTAGTAAAAATAAGAAGAGACCAGTTGAAATTCAGTTCTTTGTAATTTTTGATATTTGGATGATCAGCACATAGTCTGTAAATGAAATTCTTCTCTCAAGTCTCATTGTGGTGCATCAATCAAAAGAGAAGTTAAAGTGGGCAATTTAAAAAAAAAMCCAACTATATGAACTTGATTTCAATTTGTAATCAGTGGAAGAATGCCATCTTGAAGATATAATGGAGGAAGTTCAGGAATGGCAACATATATGACTGAATATCTGGAATTACAGTAAGATTCAAACAGCTAAAAATACAGAATCTGGCTACAAGGAGCTCTAAAGGGATTGGTATGTGTGGCAGAAGTTTGCAAATTTAAAAGTCCATTATGGGAACAGAATTAATAATTGAGATCTAATTAGAATATAGAAAAATGGAAAATTTAAACACTGCATCAAGACATTTGATGRTTGTGCTGCAGCTTCAGTGAACATGCTAGAAATCAAGCTACACAAAACCCTAAAGAAAACTACCAAAAACCCACTGAATGACCCAGAAAAGAAAGTTTCCTAATGATAAGGTATAGTGTGCATAGGTTCTTGTTTCAATAACTTATTTCTGTCAGCAGCTTCGGGATTATGGCAAATCTTTATAACACTAAGCAATCTTGGCTAGAGAGGGTGTAAAGAGGGCAGAACTTGCAGACTGTCAGAGCTTTTTTTTTTTTGGCGTCACTGCCTGTGAAACTGTGAATAGGCAGTTCAGTCAAAGTGTTACCTCAATCAGGATAAAACAGGAATTTTGTAATTGTATTCACTGAAGCCAAAACTCCTCTCTTTTTATCTGGCAGCAGTAGCATAAATTAATGTAATAATGGCAATGCTGCCTACACAATATTACAAAGACAGTACCAGTCTTCCGAAATTCTGCTGGCTTTCTTTTGTATTAGCATCATTGAAATTGGAGGTGAAGACAGACAAGGGTGAGCCAAAGATCAACAGTCATCTCAAAGGTCAAAGGATTTCTTCATCTAGTATGTAAAAAAATAACTCATTCTCTGTATTACAGATACTCAGCAGTGACCTGTCAATTAACTAACAACTACATTTTTYGTCTAATATTTGACTTCAGAAAACTTTACAGCTATGCTGACTCAGAAGGCATTAAGTGGAAGGGGTAAAGGCAAGCCACCTCAAAATCCCTGATTCCACCCTATTAAAATTACACTTCCTTTTTTTATCAATTAAAGTAGTGAAGATACAATTTTAGATTTTAAACTTCTTTTCACAGGCTTAAAAGCTGTGAATCAGCATTAAAGCTACCAAAACAAGCCCAGGTATTCCTTTAAAAGGGAAAATTGTAAAGTGGAGCAATCTGGAAATAGAACTCCATTCTTTCGTGGTTTTGAGATGGCCAAAAGAGCCAKTTACATTTACTACATTGAACATGTAGTGGATTTGATTGCCAGCCAGGAAGAGCCACCTTTCCTAAAGAGTAGTGCCTTTTCTATTGTCAGTGCCYACATGCATAAATGTGGATAAAAATTTGGGACATATACCTCTAAATATTTTACTGTACTTACAAATCAACCAGTTTGATATGAAAGCAGTGCAACTTAAGACGTGCATTTTTATACATTTAAATATTGCAGGTAAAAGTCTGCTCATGCAAACCTACCCTAAAAAGCAGAGACTGGGTCTTCTAAAACCATAAAATCGTACTCTAAGATCTCACAGAAGACAATGCACAATTAGTAAATCTGTTAACCTATTCAATTATAGCAAAATTTAAAAATTGACTCTGTTCCAATACTAATTGTGTATTTTTAATGATGGAAAATTAATAAAAACACTATATTTTTTCACTCATTCAAAAGGTGCTTTTATTTAAATAGGAGCCTCAGCCATGAGTGATTTCTGAGTATGTAACTCTTTGTTCAAATGCAAAAATTTCAAAAATGTCTTTCCTTTATATCACTTTTGGAAATGCTTGCTTACTTGTGTGCCATACTTATAAAAATTGATTTTAAAAGCAAAACCAAGTAAAGGACAGARGGTTACAGCCAGCATAACCAGAGCTTTAATAGGAGCTATAGATGACTGACGTCAGTCTTAAAGTGATTTAAACTGCTGTGATACAGAATGTTTAACTACAAGCAAAACCAGCTGATTATCAAGCAGCAAACAAGTGGTGCATTGTGGATTTTTTCATTTCCTGTGACAGTCTACATTAATTATGCTCACCACATTGCAGGACACTTGCACTTTTATGGAGACCAGCCACACATCAAGCACGCAGCATGGTGTAAACAGGAAGAGTTGCAGGATGGTAATCTATGTCCCTGTTGGCATTACAACAAAGCTTAAAGGTGGGTTCTGAAATTCTCATGAGGTTTAGCAAGACCAAGTGCAAGGTGCTGCACCTGAGTTGGGACAATCCCTGGTATCAACACAGGCTGGGATGGAAAGATCAGAGAAGCCAGAGAAAGACTTCAGGGTGCTGGTGGGTGAGAGGCTGGACATGACCCAGCCATGGGCACTCCCAGCCCAGAGAGACAGTGGGGTCCTGGGCTGCATCCAGAGCAGCGTGGGCAGCAGGGAGAGGGAGGGGATTGTGCCCCTCTGCTCTGCTCTGCTGAGACCCCACCTGCAGTGCTGCATCCACCCTGGGGTCCCAGCACGGGAAGGAYATGGAACTGCTGGAGTGAGTCCAGAGGAGGGTTACCAARATGATYAGAGGGATGGAGGACCTCTCCTATAAGGAAAGGTTGAGAAAAATTGGTTTGTTCAGCCTGGAAAAGAGAAGACTTTGGGGTGACCTTATTGCAGCCTTCCAGTACCTGACAGGACCCTACAAGAAAGATGGATGGGGACTTTTTACAAGGGACAATGTACTGTTACTTTTACAGGACAAGGGGCAATGGSTTCAAACTGAAAAAAATATTTAGATATTAGAAAGAAATTCTTTCCTGTGAGAGTGGTGAGGCACTGAACAGGTTGCTCAGAGAAGCTGTAGATGCTCCAGCCCTGGAAGTGTTCCTGGCCAGGCTGGATGGAGCTCAGGCAATCTGGTCTAGTGAAATGAGTCCTGCACAAGGTGGTAGGTTTGGAAATGGATGATCTTTAAGGTCCCTTCCAGCCAAAACCATCCTATGGTTCTATGATTATAAATGCATGAAATTTGCTCAAACCAGGTGAACTTCATTCTGCAAGATGGATCCTGCTCCCAAATGATCCACAAAAGTTCAGGGAGCAGGTTCCATATGAAGTGTCTTCCTGCGCAGCTATGCTTTTTTTTTTTTTTTTTTTTCCTTTTACCTGGGAAGAGCTGAGGAGTATGGACATAACTAAAATTTAAAAATGAACAAAGTTTATTCAATGTCTTCTGGCATTACCATCTATTTCTGCCATTCCGTTGTAAAGACAGGATACTGAAATCAATGTTTGATGATCTCTTATGCTGATTCAGCAGTTCTTTTGTAGTTTGTTCTGGAACAAACTAAGACTGTAAGCTATTTTTTTAAAGGTGCTTTTCATACTAGGTAGAAAAAACAGTGTCCTGAGASCTACTATAGGGTCATTCCAAATGATTAGAAGGGTGATTTTTACATCTTTGCTGCCATTGGCCTCAGCAGGATTTAGGCACTGTAAGGTGAGGCGACAGTATCCATTTACGTTTTCAAAATCAGGTTCTTGTTATTGTTGCCATACTCTTGCTTCACTGTGTATCTGCAGGGGAGTAGTAATCTAATAGCTCATATGAAAAAGGAAAATGGTAGCAAAAAGGAAGATCACATTTAGCCCAGTACATAAAAAATCGCTTTCATATTACAACTACTATCTTTCCTTCACTTTTTAACCAAAAGATATTGTTACATTGCTTAGAGCAGGTTTTTAAATCCCTGAGCTAATAAAGCTCCATTGCTTGTGCTGCAGAGATCTGACATGCAGCATGTACTTTGAAAAGATGCATCAYAGGGGATCAGGTTCCTAACAGTTGACTAAGAGTTTCAGTCCCAAAAGATTTGCCCCTGGTGTGCAGAGCACTTAACCCTTCGACCAGTACCAACATGACTATTCACAAATTATTGATGTCCCTAAATCCCTGGCAGATTGCAGACAGTTCTTGTCTCCCTTGAAGCCAAAGCATATGGTCACTAATGAGATGGATTAAAAATACATATACACATTCAGGGCCTTGCCACATGAATGTAAAGCCACAGAAATGTTAGAAGGTGATTGAACTGGACTGAACACTGTTAAATAGATGATTAGCTTGTTATGGATCATTTCCATTGATCCATACACAGTTTCACAGCATAGTTTAATTAAAGCTGTCTGGAACAAGCCTCTGCCTTAAATGATCAGGCAGTGCAATGAAAAGGTGAAACACAAGCTGACTGTCTTTGTGGTATACAGTTATTCCAGCAAGAATGGAAACTGTGATTTAAAATATTGTCTGTTTTTACAGTCCGGGGTTTTCYGCACATTTTTCTTAATATAAAATGATGTAGTGGAATTAAAGATTTTGAAAAAAAAAACCCACCTGCACAATTTGCTTGCTTCATTGCAATTAATACTTTTCTATCCAAAATAAAATCAAACCCAGTAAACAAGAATATATTGTTGGAATATAAAAAGGAGTCACTTAGCAAAATATGATTTTGTGCTGATTTTTTTCTGTTGCAGTTGTGAAGATTTTAAAAGACAATATGGATATTTTTAACAGTCCAAT